GAGAGATTTCACATTCTTGGAGAGATTTCTCATACAGAGAGAGATTTGGGAGAGATTTCACACACTTGGAGAGATTTCTCATACAGAGAGAGATTTGGGAGAGATTTCACACACTTGGAGAGATTTCTCATACAGAGAGAGATTTAAGAGAGATTTCACATACTTGGAGAGATTTTTGAGAGATTTCACACACTTGGAGAGATTTCTCATACAGAGAGAGATTTGGGAGAGATTTCACATTCTTGGAGAGATTTCTCATACAGAGAGAGATTTGGGAGAGATTTCACACACTTGGAGAGATTTCTCATACAGAGAGAGATTTGGGAGAGATTTCACATTCTTGGAGAGATTTGGGAGAGTTAGAGTGAAAGAGATTGGGAGAGACTTCTTTTGTGACCTTTTTGAGTGTTTGGCTTCGCAATTCAAGGTTTGTAAACCTCGTTAAGTCTTGTTATGATTGTTATATGCCCCTGAGGGTTAAGGAATAATGTTTTATCGAGTAGTTTCATCACTTGCCCTGATTAGGGTTTAGAGTTTCCGAACACGTGAAAATTCCAAGTGATACTTTGTATTAAGATTGCGAGTTGTTCGATAAGAAACATAATGGAAACCCTAATATACAAGGATTAGATGAGTTGACCGGTTTGACTTGTTGACTTTAGTTGACTTTGACTTGGCCAAAATTGACGGTTGTCACAATTGCATTAATAAGTATAAGTTTTACATAAGTGTTTTACACATTTCAAAAACATCATAGTAGATATAGAAGACGACAGGAGTCGCAGTACGGTACTAGGCAGTCTTCTCAAAAGCGTCGGGGGTGTACCTGTCTACTAGAGCCCTGAGAATACAAGCAGTTTTGAAAGAGTATCAGCATAAAGCTTGTGAGTTCATAAGCATTTTGTTTTAGAAAGACAGTTCTCGGTTCTTTTGAAAAGTGTGATATCTTTCACAGAAAACCTTATGCTATCCGGAGTAATAAACGTGTAAACCTTAGGTAAAATGATTCTTTGATATCCAAGAAAATCCCATATTTTCTTATGAAAAGCATGATTAAGCCCATTTCTTTTATTACTTCTTTGTTCACACTAGTCACGCATAAACCCGGAAGTTATTGAAGGAATATGAGTATTCGTTAGTTGATTACTAGACCATCTGATTATAAATTACTGATGTTTACCCTGGGAAATCCTAAATTTCCCCTATATACCAGTTATTGAATTACCCGTTTTAAATCGGAGAGTACAAGTATCTACCATACTTATATTATTATAGCATTTATCCTTTTGAAAACCCTGGTTACCCCCAGTGATGTATATTAGTCTTATTACATAAATAAAACTAATTGAAGAGTGAAATCCCGTAAATAATTGATTAGTTTATACTTATTGTGAGTCGTATAACCATGCTTGATATGACCTAGAGACCTTTACAACATTCTTCAAGTTTTGGTTAAATGACGTTTGTCACCCCAGGCGTGCCCGCCTAACTGTAGCTAGTAGTCCAGGTGTGGGATTGTCAATCCCGAATAGATCTATTAACAAATCTCACGCTCTCCCTCCAGGAGACTCTGGTTATACTAGGATAGGATTTAATTAAGTACTCCTAAGAGTACAGGTTCGAAGTAGAGCCTCACAATCCTGTATAATCTAGTTTACATGTAATTCAGTTTTTATTCTCTTGCATTTAAATCCGTTGATTGCGGTATAAAGTAATAATTATACTTAAATAATTATTAAATGTTATACTCCTGAGAAAATATATGCCATAAACTAAATCTGTCATAGTTTATATATATATATATATATATATATATATATATATATATATATTCACTCATAAATGAAATCTGAATTGGTAAAATCTGTATATTGAATTCTCCCAAACTATTCCCATTATAGTTTACTTGAAATGATACGGAAATACTTTGTAAAAATCATTCTGAAAACTATGAACTTATGTTTTCAAAATAAAAGCGTCCCTTATACTCAACATAGTACAAAAGGGATAAAATATCTAAATATTTTTATTAGCCGTGGAAATCGCTAAACTGTATTAATAAGTTTAAAACTTAATAAAATACTTTGTGTTTGGCTTGTACCCCCCCCCCCCTGAGAACATTAAAAATCGTAAAAGCGTAGGGGTATGAACTCACCTCGAGTGAGTGTTTTGAATGAAGGATCGATACGGGATGCTGAATGTTCAAGTAAAGCCTTGAACACAATTGAATCCTATTCAACATGTAATAATACATATAGGAGCCACATTATGGCATTTCACTACTAGACATGATAAGAAACCACTCTAGGGACTTGGAACCGCTTGCACTAAGTGTTGGAACCTTATGGGATTGAGTGAGGGGGTGTACGGCCACCTTATAGGTGTGTACGGCCATGGGTGTACGGCCCATGAGTGTACGGCCGTACACTCATGATGGAATGTGTTTTTGAGGTGTTTCCAAGGCTCATACTAGTATCCATGAAGTGTTCTAGGTCCATGCTTGGTTGTGGTGCAAGTTAGAGGCCAATAGAGATCATCAACATGGGTTCACGGCCTTAAGAGGTGTGTACGGCCGTACATAGGGGTGTGCGGCCGTACACCCTTCATGTTCATGCCCAAAATGCCAACTTTAAGGTGCAACAAGGCTAGGGACATGTCCAACTAGAAGATAGGGGTCAAACTCTCACTTTGGAGAGCCTTTATGGAGTGTACGACCGACCTTATGAAGGTGTACGGACGTACTCTCTTCAAGACATGAAGAACATGATGAATTCTTGTAGAATCAAGGCTTAGATAAAGTGGTCTTTCAAGGATGACAAGTTAGAGGATGGATTACTCACGTTCTTGAAGCTTTGAAGGGTTCACGTTTGATGAGACTTGAGAGAGAAGAAGTAGTGTGCGGCCAAGGAGAGAAAGGGATGAAAGGAGAGGGGTCTACCCTTTATATAGGGGTGGGTGTGCGGCCATGAGGGGGGTGTACGGCCGTACACCCATGTGCACGGCCGTACACTCCTCCTAAAGGAGTGTATGACCTGATTTTGTTACCTTATGACTTGATAACTCATCCCTAATCTCAACCTTGATTGTACTTAAGCTTAGAACACTTAAACGAACCCTTAAACAGTACTAGAAGTTAACAGAAACGAGTTTAACATTGGTTGAATTGACTAGATGTACATGATAGAAGTTTCGGGTTATCACATTACTGCAATGGAAGCAAACAACACTTGGACCATTATGCCCCTGCCTTCTGATAAACATACAGTTGGATGCAGATGGGTTTATAAATTGCAATATGGAAGTAATGGTCAAATTGAAAGACATAAAGCTCGTTTAGTTGCCAAAGGTTTTAGTCAGCAAGAAGGAGTAGATTTTTTTGACACATATACCCCTGTTGCTAAGTTAGTAACAGTCAAGATGCTCCTTGCTATTGTTGCTGCCAAGTCATGGAATTTAGTCCAATTAGATGTCAATAATGCTTTCCTTAATGGAGATCTAAAAGAAGAAGTTTTTCATGGAGATACCACCTGGTTTCAAACTTCAGAAGGACAAATACCCGAAAAATGTTTCTTTGGCATGTAAACTCAATAAATCAATATATGGTCTCAGACAAGCTTCAAGACAATGGTTTGAGAAATTCTCTTCATTCATGTTATTTCTGGGTTTTACACAATCAAAGTCAGACTATTCTTTGTTTTTCAAAGGATCAGGATCCACTTATGTTGCTCTTTTAGTATATGTAGATGATATCTTGATTACTGGATCATCAAATACAGAAATCAATTTTCTTAAGCAGAAATTAAGTGCCAAATTCAAGCTAAAGGATTTGGGTTCTCTTGGATATTTCTTAGGATTAGAAGTGGCTAAATCCAAAGAAGGAATTTTTGTTTCACAAAGAAATTATACATTGCAACTAATTGAGGATTTGGGTTTCCTAGCAGCCAAACCTGTTTCTACTCCTATGGATCCTAGAAATAATTTGCAAAGTGATAAAGGTGATCTATTCAATGATCCTGCACGATATAGGAGATTAGTGGGTCGATTGTTATACTTAAATATAACACGACCATACATTTCTTTTTCAGTTCAGAAATTATCCCAATTCATGTCTTCTCCAAGAATTCCTCATTATCAAGCTGCATGTCATCTGGTGAAGTATTTGAAACAAAATCCTGGTCAAGGAATTTTCTTATCTGCTAAATCCAATTTCCAATTAAGAGCCTTTTGTGATGCAGATTGGGGTAAATGTTTAGACTCAAGACGTTCCATTACTGGTTTTTGCATATTTCTTGGAGATTCTCTAGTTTCATGGAAATATAAGAAACAAGCTACTATATCTCGATCTTCAGCTGAAGCCGAGTATAGAGCTATTGCTTCTACTACTTGTGAGATAATTTGGTTGAGACAATTGTTACGAGATTTTGATATTAACACTAAAGAAGCAACATTATTATTCTGTGATAATGATTCAACCATCAAGATTGCTACCAATCCGATTTTCCATGAAATGACCAAACATTTGGAGATAGATCTACATTTTGTTCGAGAAAGAGTTCTTAATCAAACTATTTGATTAATGCCCATTAAGTCTCAATTTCAGTTAGCAGACTTATTCACAAAACCATTACCATCTACCAAGTTACTACCTCTTATGTCCAAGATGTCTTTGAAGAATATATATTCTCCTCTTCCATCTTAAGGGGGGAATATTAGATATAGAAATGTATATTTGGTCACTTTATGTTATAGTTGAGGGTTAATTCTGTAATTTACCATTCTAGTTAGTTATGGTAGTTAGTTATGGTAGTTAGTTATGGTAGTTAGATGTATGTATATAGATGGTAGTGATGTATTCGTTTTCAATCTAATGAAAAGATTCTCTCTCTCTCTCTCTCTCTCTCTCTTAATATGTTATAACAAAACAAATTATATATATAATGTTTTTGTAACAGACAAAAGGATATTAACCAATCTCCAGTTTTTAAACTGAATGAATGGTAATCACTGATGATAAATCTTTGAAACACTAAAAGGACTTGGGGTTTAATTTTTGAAATTTTATATTTATGGAGTGGCTTTTGTCTTTTTGAGATTGCCTTTTTAACATTTTATAAAAAAATATATATTAGAAAATAAAACTACAATATTGTCAAGAACCAGATCCAGAAAGAGTTTGAATAATGGTTTGATGCCATGGGTTGGATAGGTGCTTAACAAGGTTGTCGATGGGCCCCACATGGGTCACGTTAGCCTGCACGATTATTCCTAGCATTGCCACCATTGCAAGCCTCCCTAAAAGTTTAAACATCAATTAAATTAGTCCAAAAAACCCTGAAATAATCCAAATTTAAAGGTAAAAAAAAAAAAGCTGGCACCATTTTTTATCTCCTTAAGCTTCCACTCATGAGCGTTTTTTATATCTTTAGCAAGGCCCAGAGGATTTAGCAATGGCCCACCAGGATATCTGTTGCATACTTGCATACATATGCATAAACTGTCAATTTGCTCTTATGGAATTGAAATGAAATTATGAACGAATAGAAAGATTATATAATAATGTAACAAGTCGTATCATTTTATGATCATGTTTATTGTCCATAAAAATGAAATGACATTTGTTAATTTCAATTTTGTTCTATAAAATATTATTTAATTGTAATTAATAAACATTTATTTTACAAAAATTGAAATTTAAAAATAATAAAATCTCGTTAAAACCTTATAACAATTTTTAATTTTTTTTTTTAAGTTTCTTAGATAGATAAAACCTTATTTTAATTAAAAAATGATAATTTTTCAAAAGATTTGTTGTTGAGGGCTACATATATGAAAATAGGTTATGCAAATTTTTATTTGACCATGGAATGAAATGAAAATGAAAAAAAATTGAAGGTGATTACAAGTAGTAATGGTTATAGAGTGATATTATACCCTGGTTCTAAACCTTCTAGGGCAGCTTCTAAACCAAAAAAGGAGCCTTCTTTTGCTTGAGACCCTGGATTAGTGAAATCCATGTACCTTTTTGTCTCAGCAAACCTGTCCAAACTCCAAATTCAGTTTCAAAATCAGAAATCAGATGATTTTAACTTTTAAGAGCAATACAAGATAAAATAAAATCGAGTTTTAAGTTAAGTTACCCCATTAAAAGTAATTGAACAATGAACAGTGTTCTAGTACTCGCAAAACTGAACTTGGTAGCACCCGCTTCATACCACACTGGTAAGTCACTTATCCCTGTTACCCGAAGCAACTACAACCAAAAAAAAAAAAAAAAAAAACTATTTATAAGGGATAATCACAAAATTGACAAAAATGATGTGCTTCATTTCACAAAGTGACTACCTTTAGACTAACAAATTGACCAATTTCGCAATGGGTTGAATCGCGAATTGTAAAATTGCTTTATCAATGGTCTCCACCATAAAAAAAAGTAACCTTAGAGTATGTAAAGAAAATCGTATTTCATCATCATTCTATGTGAAATGATGTCATTTTGCAGCCTTTATCTGAATTTCACGGTTTGTAGGAATCGTTTTAAAATAGGTGGTTATTTTGTGTTTATGGGGAAAAGATGGTCAATTTGTTAAATCACTGACACAGCATAAAAGTCTGATGTACATTGGAACTGAAACTCTCACACTGTGCGACCCTATACAAAAAACGAACTCACATCAGTGAAAAGAATTCCAGCAACTCCAGCCATGGCAAAACGGGAATGAACCAGCTCAGCTTGCACATACCACTTCAAGCTCTTCGGGTCCTCTCCAAGTCCAAGTGGGTCAAACCCAAAATCTCCCGCAAGACTTTTTACATAAAAATAATATATAAAATATAAAAGATATAATGTAATAAAGATTTCAAGATTCAAGAGTATCATCAAATGTTGTATTGTAATTTGTAAGGCTCACGTTCCATCAAGATAAGGTGGAGGGTCAAGCCCAGGAAGCCATGTAGGTCTTTGTTGAGCTTTAATGGCTGTTTTCAAGAATCTTGAACTCCTATAGCATCTACCACTTGTACCAAATGCTCTTCTGTTTGTACTATTGTAGTTTACAAAAGAAGATGAAGAACAAGAACATGCTAAGCTTCTCCCAATTGAAACACTCATCTCTTTCTTTCTCCTTATCAAAACAACCCTTGAAAAGTTCAAATGTGGAGCATAGAAAACCAAAAAGGGTTAGGGTTTGTTTGGGCCCCACTAATATCAAAACATGTGATGGAAACTCACAACTTATCCAAACCCTTTTCAGCCATTCATTCATAAACATTCAAAATAATCAAAATAAACACACCAACAAACACCTTCATCAATAAACGACAGCTAGTAAGTACTTAAATTCTCCTTAATCATTACAACAATAATCAAGAAAGTTGTTTTTTTAAATGTAAACAAAAACCAACTAGAATTATCTTTTGATTAAGCATAAGAAAGTCTGCTAGATATGCTGAAAGAGCTAACTTTCATTGGAGTAGCAACAACAAGAGGAGCTTCAGGTGAATCAGTAACTGCAAACTTTTCATGCATGAAACGACTATCAACAATGGAGTCATCTTTAGGGACAATCTTGTAGCAATAACAGCTCTTCAATCCCATCTGGTTTTTGTAGCATTCGTGGGACCCATCTTTCACTTTTTGAAAATTCCATATCACACTGAACTTTCCCACAGTAGCAACCAGATGGCGTTCTTGCTTCCCATCTTCAGTCACCTATGTCAAATTTACCAAAATGCCCATAATCAACACAAAACATAAACATTATACTTATACATATACAATACAACAATCTATGAACATATGATAAGATCAAAAGAATAAGGGTAAAGAAGGTAAAAGGGGTAAAGTGAAATTGAAACATACCCAAGAGAATTGGGCCCCACGGAAGTTATTGTTTACACCAGCTCTATGAGAATCAAGAGGATTCAATTTCAAAAGTCTTGGAGCTGAAATATTATTTCCCATTCGCCCTGAAAAACCAGTCTTTGATTTCCCATCTTTATCGGTAAATAAAGTGCAAATAAGGATCAAATACGTATCAGTTGTTCCCAAAATCCACTTCCCATCGTAAGTAACATCAACATGAGTGATTGGTGATCCAAGTCCAGGAAAAGCAGTTTTTGCTTGTCTCATGGAAGTGATGGAATACAATCTTATCTTTCCATCAACAGATCCAACAACAATGGATCCATCACCAGTTGTTGCAAAACACTGGAAGTTTGTGCCTCTAGAGAATTGATGACCTTGTGTCCAGTTCAAGACAGGGGTATTTGTGTCCACGAGATTTTGAACTATTCCATGTCGATCTCGCATATCCCATCTGCAAAGACGATTATCATCCAAACCCAGGAAAGTTGATCCAGAAGGGTCCATTTGAGCTCCTTTGCTGTCGTTTGTTACATCTCTCATGGTGATATCAGTTCCATCTTTTGCAAATTTCCATTCGGTGACTACTTTTCCTGTTTCTATATCGAATTGGTGGAGACCATTGGTGTGTGGCTTCCCAGATCTCATTGGACTCATTAACAACATGTTTGTTTCGGCTTTCATTAGAAGAGCTTTTCTAGGTGTGGATTCGGTGTGACCTTTCATGGAGCTGTCGAAATTGACATAAACCCCTTTTCCATGGATGCCATGGCTGAAATTTTTGACAACTTGAATGCCGGAATCACTTACCAGAAAACTGTTGTCTAAGGCTCCTAATGCTAGGCTTTTTATGCTTCCCCCTTTTGCAGCCTCCTCGAACTCTTCTCTTAGGTCATGGTTTGCTCTGACTGGAGTTTTGAAAGCAGGGCTTTTGGAGAAACTGTCTTCAGCATCCTCCCACATGGAATCATCAGCAGCTTCAGGATTTGCCCATGATACAAAATCTTTTCCATAAACTTTGGCTTTGTTTTCATCAGTACACTCAAACCCGTAAGTGTTTTCAAACAAACACTTCTCGTATTGATCGATGAAGACCTTGTAATCCTCGATGCTGAAAAACTTCATAGCATAAACACCATTTGAGACAAAATCTATACGTCGCTGATCCATTATCGGCTTCAGTTGCAACTGTTGATCAACAGGAGACCGAACTTTTGACCCGACTTTCAAAAACCAATATAGATCTTCATCTCCCTCTTCATCGTCTCCGTCTTCTTCCATGGTCGTTTTAACGAAAGAGTATGAACTGATCTTATCAGCGACGACCCATTTCGACTGAGCAGTGTTTCCACCGGTATGAATGTAAAGCTTAACGGCATTCTTCAGGGTTTGGTTCTTAGATTGGTATTTCAGTTTTAGGGCTTTCAACTTTGCATCAATTTCGTCAACAGACGAGGGTGTCTTCGTTGGGGTTTTGGAGGGTGAATGGTGGTCTTTGACGTCTTCGTAATTTTCTTCTTCTTCTTCTTCAGACTGCTGTTCTTCTTCCTCGGATTCAGAGTCGGAGATTTCCAAATCCCGGCTTTCTGCGGCACCCATTTCGAGTTTCTTTGAAATTGATTTGGGTGTTAGGGTTTGTTAACGAAGCTGCAGTGAGATCTGAGTGAATGGTAGTGGGGGAAGGGAGGAGAGGAGCGTCGGTAAGTGGAGGTGAAGAGGCGCGCAAATTGAAATTTTGAAATGACTGATGTCTTGCTTCAAAATTAGGGTTTTGGTAGTTGCCCACCACTCACAACCACAAGGACTCTGTTTGTTTGTTTGTTTTTTTTAAATTCTGCGGACCACATCTGCAAGCCTCTGCGGCAGAAGAGGTGGACCAAATGTCTGTCGTTTATAATAAAAAGACTGTTTGTTTTTAACATCTGCAATAGTTGAAATAAATTGATTTTTCAAATTTAATTCCATGTCATAAATATTAAAAATACATTTTCAGCAAAAAAAAAAAGAAATGAAAAAAACTACAAGGGGCCATGTTTTTTTTTTGGTTTAGGTTAAAATGACATATGAAAACCTTTGAAGACAGTGGCTCATGTCTGCGTCAGGAAGACCTCGCACAGACGTTTTTTGATATGCACACTTCCAAAAAACAAACACTCTGCGAAGGCATATGTCTGCGCGGCGCAGACAAAAGTGGCTGCGCAGATTTTCACAAAAAAAAAAACTACCCCTTTGTGTCCAAACTATTTTCAAATGGAACCATTATATATTAATTTTTAAATAAGAGAAAATTCTTTTTTTATCTATATTTTTTTTAAAACACACATAATCATTATTTACTTTTAAAGTTTATTTATTATGTTCAAGAGAAATAGCTAATTTTATTTACTTTTTTTTTAAATTTAGTTAAAAGTTAAGATAAATTGACCAAAATAGGGTTAATGTCATAAAAACCCTCAAGTTTTCAGGGTTTTGTCGGTTTTGCCCAAAGTTGAATTTTATGTACGTTTTTACCTTAACATTTTCGAAAAAATGTTCGATTTTACCCTTTTACCGGTGATAACAGGTTTTCCAGGTTAACATTATATTAAATTCGCAAAAAACCCTTAAGTTTCCCGTTTTTTGCATTTTTACTCTTAAGTTTATAATTTTTTTTACACTTTTACCCTAAATAATTTTTTTCATAATATACGTATTAATGCAGAAAAATCGTATTTAGATACGAAAAAATGTTTAATAAATATGTATTTATATTTTTTTTAATAGATATAGATATATATATAGATATATATAGATATATTTGGTGGTGGGGGTGTGTGTGTTTTTGCAAGGTTATACCCTTTAAAAATATAAATAATATTTTTATAATTATGAATACGTGTTTTATAGATATAGTTTTTAGAAGTATAAATACATATTTTTATATTTTTATATATTAATATGTATCTATACTTCTAAAAATATATTTATACTTTTAAAAAAAACATATATATCAAAATAAATATTTACACTTCTAAAAATATATGTATATATTTATATAAACATGTTTATGATTGAACAAGTTTTTTTATTGATATGTATATTTGTAAATACATAAAATACGTATTTGTAGTTCTAAAAACATATTAATTTGTGTTTTTTACATCTTAAATGGTTTATCCAAGAAAAAAACTCATACACACACACACACACACACATATATATATATATATATATATATATATATATATATATATATAAAGAAATAACATTAAAAAAATGTAAATACAATATTTAATTAAAACTTTTTCGTATATAAATATGATTTTTCTGCATGAATACGTATAATATGAAAAAAAATACATAGGGTAAAAGTGTAAAAAAAATTATAAACTTAAGGGTAAAAACGTAAAAAAACTGTAAACTGAAGGGTTTTTTGCGAAGTTAATATAATGGTAACCTGTTATCACCGGTAAAAGGGTAAAACCGAACATCTTTTGGAAAATGTTAGGGTAAAAACGGACATAAAATTCAACTTTGGGCAAAACCGACAAAACCCTAAAAACTTAAGGGTTTTTATGACATTAGCCCACCAAAATATTCATGTTTTTCGCTAGTGGCACACGAAAATTTCACCGCCAGTGAAATCACCTTTTTAATCAAATTTTACCTTCTTTTTTTTTTCTTTTTTTTTTTTTTTTTTTTTTTTGCTAAAAAGACATTGTAATGTGTTTGCGAATTAAAATTGGGTGCAAAAATCTTAATGTGGGTTGAGTTTATGTGCTTCTTGTGGTTGCCTTTATTCAAGGTAAAGAAATTCATTTTCACATATTTTGTTCTTTGGATTTTCTTATAACACTCTCCTGACATAAAATTACTACAATCTATTTGAAATGATAAACGTTGACGGTTGATTTGTTCGAGTTATTTTGTAAAAATATATTCCCTCCGTCCCAAAATTATTGTCTACCTTACTATTTTAGTTTGTCCCAAAATTATTGTCCACTACCAAAAGTAGATATACACTTTTACCATATTACCCCTAGCATTTAATAAAGTAAATTTGAATAATTACAAACGCACATTTCTCATTGGTTTTAGAAAAGGGCAAGAGGGTCATTTTACTCAAAAAGACAAAACTAATGATTGCTTTTTTTAATCTATGTGTTTTTTGTCTGTGGACAATAATTTTGGGACGGAGGGAGTATAAGAAAACCACAAATGTAATTGTAACATCTATAAAATTTCAGTAAAATTTAAACTTTCCAAAACAATCCTTTTTCTATAGAAGTGTTTACAAAACCGTTGTTTCCAAAACATTTATTTAAAACTAGAATTATTTACACATAGTTTTCAAATCATTCACATTATCAGAGTTTCCCAGAAACCATAAGTTCAAAACGCGAGGATGTGTACGGTTACGCCTTCGTCTTGCCAAAACATCTAGAGCACCTGAAACAATAAACTGAAACCGTAAGCCCAAAGCTTAGTGAGTTCCCCCAAAGTACCAACACACAAACGGTAGCACATATACAAATAACAACATGTATACCGAACCTTCAGCATGTCTGGACCGCCTCACTGGGCCTACAACCTGTCTGGACCGCTCTCGAGCCTTCGGCATGACTGGACCGCCTCGCAGGACCTACAGCCTATTCGGACTGCTCTCAAGCCTTCGGCATGACTGGACCGCCTCGCAGGGCCTACAGTCTATCCGGACCGCTCGTCGGGCATTCGGCCTGACTGGTCTGCCTCGCAGGGCCTTCAGTCTATCCGGGTCGCCGTGGGTCTGTTAGCTTTCAGCACAAAACATGACCGCCTCAACCCGACCACACACACACATGTCGACTTACACATAACAGATAAGCAGGCATATAGCATACCGATATAAATATTACAGGGTTTGTCGACTAGCAACACAAAGCAGCACAGTATTAACCCAACCACACTACATCAACACATGCTACTAGAAACATATAGCCAGAACAGATAACAGGCAGATCTAACAGATCACTAATCATAGCATCATCCTATCTACCAGGATACCGATCTAACAGATCACCACAGCATACAAGCATACGATAAACCAGGATAACAATCCAAAAGGGCCGGCATTGGTGCCTTCGACCCTGTTACTACAGTGAGGAAAACTCACCTCACAAATTGAATAGAAGCTGATGAGGTCCCGACTCCGATTCTCAGCTCCAACCGACACCTATTCCTCCAAGTGACCAACCAAAATCAAAATCCCGAAATACCCAAAATACCCTCAAGGTCAAACTTGGTCAAACTTGGCAAAGTTAATTGGTCAAACCAACTAGGTCAACTGAGTCAACCCAACCGATTCGAATCAGAGTGCGTACGCGGGGCGTACCTTCACAAGTCCCAAACTCCATTAAGAGCTTATTCCATTAAGTTCTTATGTAACATACACGTTTAGTTATCGTGTTATGTAATTTTAAAAATGAATAATATTATGAAATATTATGTGATTTTGAGCGTTGAGTTCTAACATATAGTTTTTACTAGAAATGAAGTAAAACTATGTTTAGAATCACTCGGAAAATATTGGAAGTCTTATTAGATTCCAATCTAATGTCAAATATTGAAATTTAACGAAAATATAAAATTTGAAATAAATAAAATTTTATTATTGAAAGTTGTAAAGAATCTCGTTAGAAACATTTAGGCGAAAACCTCATCGAAATCCGAGTTATAACGAAGAAGTTATGACTATTTGAAGTTTCGCGATAGAACCGACACGACGCCGTATGACGTAAAAAGTGAGTTTTCGATAAACTACTTTTTAGCCCTTATGATCTAAATGAAAGTCGTAGTATTCGTTAAACCGAGAATTTTCATAAAAAGAACGTCCAAATCTGGCTTCATATGAGAAAGTTATGATTTTTCTAAGTTTCGGAATAGCAGTAGACAACTAAAAACTCGAAATAAAGATCGAGTGATTTTTAGCCGACGCAACCTAAACGAGAATCGAAGGTCTCGTCAATAGTAGTACAACGGTAAAAAGACAGACGAAAACGGACGTTAGATGAAGAAGTTATGAATTTTTAATGGGCATTTATTGTCCCGGCCCGTTAAAAATATAATATTAAAAATAAAAGTCAAAATTAGCCGATGGAGTCTAAACGAAAGTTGTAGAGTATTATCTCACCTACGCGTGGATATAAAGAACGTAAAAAACGGAGCTTGTATGCAAAAGATACGAATTTTTGAAGTTTTGGAAATTCGGAGTACGCCCAGCTTACTCGTGTTCACGGTCCGAGATTGGCCACGTTGCCTATTCCTCGCAATCGACACGTATCACGCAGGTTCGACACGTCTGATGCCACGCATCAGGGTACGCCCAGCGTACTAAGCTGTACGCCCTGCGTAATGGCTAATAGGGCAGTACGCCCCGCGTACTGGAAGATTACGCCCAACGTAATCCGGGTTTCAGCCCCTATAAATAGTGAGCAAGACCTCCGGGTTTTTGTTTACAAAACCTATTCTCTCTCACTCTCTACTTCTTCATTACCCACTTTTAACCCCCGAAGCCCCGATATCACTCCCGACACCCGAAACAAGTCACGACGCTCCGAAGTTTCCGAGAAAATCATATTTACAAGTCGAACTCTGCCCGAGTAAGACCCGATTTTCAATTAAAATCCCCGGTTTCGTCACAGAAAGTCATATTTAAAGTCGAAGTGCTGCCCAAATTAATACTTTAACCCCTGGTTATTTCAAGGTGAGTTCAATATAGGGACAATTGTA